AACTTGCAGCCTGCTCCAGGTGGGGCCTGGGGATCTCCCGGAATTACAGCTCATATCCAGACTGCAGAGGTCAGTTCTCTTGGACAAAAAGGATGCTTTGGCGAGTGAACTCCATGGCAATGTACCCTACTGAGGTCCCTGTCCTCCTCGAGCTCCATCCCCAAATCTCCCTGGGTCTGGAACCCCTACCCCCTATCCCTTGCTGGTGGCCAGGGGGGACCTGGCATCTCTGGCCATCAGTCAGCTGTCACTTGACAGCACTTTCCTCCCCCAATCTGAATAAGAAAGTATGGATTTCCTCCAGTATCCAAAATCACAAATGAAAACATATTTGTGTGTTTCATCAATTGTGAAGAGTGGGTTTTAGACATGCTTGCCATTTCTGGTCCTGCAAGACACCACGGAGCAGTGGAGAAGCCTGCCAAAATGTGTGCTCAGAGATCCACGAGCCAAGCCGAGACTTTTGAAAATATCCCCCAATAAACTGAGTCTTAAATAGAATAATATTCAATTATGGTCCCCCCCCACACACACCACTGCATGATCTTAACATTTGAATAAAAGAGGTATTATTCTTGGCAGGTTTCCGGTCTCTCCCTCCCCCATTGTTTTCTTGTTAAAGTCAATTACTTAATCTGATCAAATGAAAACAAAGAGAGCTGAATGGCTCCGCCGGCATTAAATAGCACCTGCGCAAATGGGCCTGTTCCTTTCCCAAACGTGTCATTACGACAACAGGGACCAGCTCCTTTTGGCTCTCGAGTTGGCTTTCTACCCGCCCGAGGAGAATTAAGTTTTGCGACCGTCCACAGAAGGTTCCTAGGGAGGACTCAGCACGAAAGCAAAGTTTAAAAAAGAGGGAGAGAGAAGCCGCTGCTGCTTCTCCCGTAATTGTACTTCCACCTGGGAAAAGTACTTGGCCGGCAGAACCAGGCCTGCCTTCCTCCACCTCCCCCTTCTTTCTATAAGCCATTTTTTTAATCCTCTCTTTTCAAATTACCTTTTCAAAGCTTCAGCATGCAACTGACGGGCGGCAGCGTTGACAAGATGTTTCAGGCCTGGTGCGTGGCTGGAATTGCGCCACGTATTGCCGTGCGCCACCGCACTCGGCCTCCACTGCTGTTGAGGAGTGGCGGTGGGGAGATGATTGGCCTAGTGCAGGAGTGAGAGCTGCCCAGGGGCCTTTGCACGGACTGGCCTCCCCGAAAGCCACTGTGCAGCCACACCGGTAGGGTTGCCAAACTCCAGGTGGGGCCTGGGGATCTCCTGGAATCACAACTTCCCTCTAGACTACAGAGATCCATTCTCCTGGAAAAAATGGCTGCTTTGGAGGGTGGACTCCATGGCATTATACCCTGCCGAGGACTCTCCCCCAAATCTCCAGGGATTTCCCAGCCTGGTGTAGGTGACCCTGTGAGACAGGCAACTCTGTCTGCTGATTTTTTAGGGGTTCTTTACCCATGGTGCACTTGGGAGCAGCACACACACACCCCACTGGGAAAATCAGCATGAGCTCTCTTTCGTTGTGCATCGGCCATCTTGGGCCGTCCGTGCAAAGTGAGAATGGCAGTGCTCCAGGGCCGGCTGCTGGCACTGGGCAGCAGAGGAAGGTCTGTGTCTCGGTGGGAGAACACCTGCTTTGTGCACCCAAGGCCCCGGTCCAGCCCCTGTCATCGCTGGTCAAAGGATGCAAGCAGCAGGGAAGGGGAAAGATGCAGGGCTATTTTTGGGCAGGAACGCACAGGAATGGAGTTCCAGCTGGCTCCCAAGTTGGCCACGCCCAGCAGGAACTCATTAGCATAATAGACCACACCCAACAGCAGAAACTCATTAGGATTGGCTACATTAGGGGTGTGTGGCCTAACATGCAAAGGAGTTCCTGCTACAAAAAAAGGCCCTGGATTTTGACAACAAACAAGGTAAACAGAATAACAAGCAAAAGGTGGGTGTGGCTGGATAACCACACTTCTGGTAACATGTGGGTGCGGCCTAATTAGTACTCCGACATGCATTCCAAAAAGAGGTCAAAGATGGCCGCTGCGTTGTCTTTCCCATATTGCCCCAGGATGTGCATCGGGGACTGGCCTCTGGCAACAAAGACATTGAGCACATTACAGAGATCCGCACCGCACCTCTGGCTCAAGCCTACTACCTTTGACACAACAGGCACCTTTCAAGGAGACCGCGCTGAAGCAAGGGGCTGCTTTCTAAAGGCATTGCAAACCATTCCCAATGGCGCCTTCTGCCAGCATACAGGAATTTATAACGCTGCAAAGCAGCCATCATCAGCAGGGAACAAGTCATTATTGCCACCAACCAGGGCTATTTTTGGGCAGGAACGCACAGGAACGGAGTTCCGGCTGGCTCCTGAGTTGGCCACGCCCAGCAGGAGGTCATTAGCATAATAGGCCACACCCAACAGCAGAAACTCATTAGGATTGGCTACATTAGGGGTGTGTGGCCTAACATGCAAAGGAGTTCCTGCTACAAAAAAAGGACCTGGGTTTTGACAACAAACAAGGTAAACAGAATAACAAGCAAAAGGTGGGTGTGGCTGGATGAGCACACTTCTGGTAACATGTAGGTGTGGCCTAATGTGCCAATGAGCTGTGCTGTCAGGGGTGTGGCCCAATATGCTAATGAGTTCCTGCTGTTGGGTGTGGCCTATTATGCTAATGAGTTCCTGCTGGGCTTTTTCTACAAAAAGAGCCCTGACCATATGTAGTCATTTTTTTAAAATTCTTGGGAGCAAGATAAAAATATAACAAAGGAAATGGGATGTGTGTATGTGAAGTGAATAGTAGTAGCTGTCAAGCAGAGTAGTAAAACAGCCCACCCCCTTGATTCTTGAGGATTCAGGAAAGGGGGGAAAAATTTATTTTAGATATTTATACCCTACTTTTTTCTCCAGTGGGGATCCCAAGCGGCTCGGCAGTGTAATTCCCTCCCCCTCTATTTTATCCTCACAACAACCCTGTAAGGTAGGTTAGGCCGAGAGTGTATGACTGGCCCAAGGTCACCTGGCAAGCTTCCAAGGCAGAGTGGGGGAACTGAACTGGGGTCTCTTAGTCCAGCACTCTAATGCTGCCCTTTTGAAACTTTATGTCCAACCATGAGAGCCAATAGGATAACTTTCTAAAAGATACAGATGAGCCATCTGCCTGGACAAGGGTTGCCAATCTCAGGTTGAGAAATTCCTGAAAATTTGGAGGTGGAGCCTGGAGGAGGGCAAAGTTTGGAGAGGGGACGGGTCTCGGCAGGGTATAATTCCATAGAGTCCACCCTCCAAAGCTGCCAGTTCCTCCAGGGGAACCGAACTCTGGAGATCAGCTATCCTCCCAGGAGATCTCCAGGCCCCACCTGGAGATTGGCATTGCCGGCCTCGTAATGCATCTGACGTGTTCACTGGATCCTGTCCCACCGAAACGCCTTGCAATCAATGCAAGGCCTGGTTTTAATTGCTGCAAAATATTTGTCTTTTTTCAGCCAAAGGAAATGAAATTGCCCAGCCCTCCCTGAAGGTCAACATGGGAGGGGGACCTCAGATTAGGTTGCTAGGGGTGGCAATTAAAAGGGGCAGGTCTCGGTGTTGAACTTGTGAGTAATACCACTCCTGGAGTTATCGAGGTGTAGACCAGAGTTTCTCCGTCAATGTCATACACACTGAATAATCTAGTTTCAATCCACTTTCAGTGCACTTTCCAACTGTGTGAACTAGCAAAATCCAGTTGGAAAGTGGATTATTTCGTGTGTGTGACCGCAGGCAAAGTGTGGGGAAAGATGTCTTTTTGAACTTCTTCTGCTGTGTGGACTCTCCCAAGCCCATGCTGATAATATGTTCCAGAAGCGAGAAGTTGGAGTTTTGTTATTAATTAATTAAGTTTATACCCCACCTTTCTCTGCTATAGAGAACCAAAGTGCCTTACATCCTTCTTCTTTCCTCCATTTTATCATCACAGCAACCCTGAGAGTATGTGACTGACCCAAGGTCACCCAGCAGGCTTCCTTAGCAGAGTAGAGATTTGAACCTGGGCCTCCCAGATCCTAACCTGACACTCTGACCGCTGCACCACACTGACTGTCATGCTTCCTCGTGCACAATTGTGCCTATAGCCTTCTTTGACTCTATACAGGGGTGGACTGAACATTTAACTCACTGGGAAAGTATCTGCCCTGAAGGGCTGCCGGTAGCCAGGAAAAACGCCAGAGTCCAGCCCCAGAACCAAGTATGCAGGAGCCACTCAGCCTGGCTTGCACCAGGGCCATGTTAACCTGCTCGTCTGTGCCTGACCTGTATGTGAGGACCCCTTGCTTGGACTTCTAGTCCCACAGTAGCATTAGAAAAGGAGCCTTTTTAAACTCTTCTCCTCTGGATGCCTTCTTTGAAGTCTGGATTGCCTGGTTTCATCTCCAAAGTGGAGCTAATGCATTAGGAATCTCCCATTGTTTCTTCCCAGGTTTTGTACAGAATGTCAGACACGGGCAGTTCCTTCTGCTTATCTATGCAGTTTTATTGCACTGCACAACCAGTGTTCATGCTTGTACTGATAGGTTTCTGATGATCACAACATGTCTGTATGAAGATTCTGTAGAGCTTGTGGGAAGCCAGGAAGACTGGGGTCGCTATGCAGAGGAAGGCAATGGCAAACCACCTCTGCTCATCTCATGCCTGGAACATCCTGTGGAAGGGTTCACGATGAGATGGTTGTGACTTGACAGCATGTTCTTTCTTCTTCTTCTTCTTCTTCTTCTTCTTCTTCTTCTTCTTCTTCTTCTTCTTCTTCTTCTTCTTCTTCTTCTTCTTCTTCTTCTTCTTCTTCTTCTTCTTCCTTCTCCTCCTCCTCCTCCTCCTCGAAATGTGAGGGATTTAATTTTGTGCTAGTAGTTCATTTTTCTTTTGGAGCAGGTGAACAGAGTAGCGTTCCTTACTCTCTTTCTTGCTTCTGCAGGTCTTGGCGTGGTTTGAGGAAGGTGAAGAAACCACGACGGCTTTTGTGGAACCTGTTGTCATCATCATGATCCTCATCGCCAATGCGGTGGTGGGAGTGTGGCAGGTATGGTATAAAGCGCCTGTGTCCAATGTTCCCTCTAAGCTGCGGAGTCTTGTGAGCAAAAATTCTACTTTGTGAGCTGCCGGCAATTAAAGTTGTGAGCGAGGCATTTGGATACTGCATAAATCAGTTTGCTCTGGAGCCTTCCTTCCTGAGCGAAGACAAAAATGTGTGAGCCGGAGGCTAAAAAACTGTGAGCTAGCTCACGCTAACTCAGCTTAGAGGGAACACTGCCTGTGTCCCCTTTCAGCACTCCGTGTAGGGCTAGCCTTGATTCCTCCATGGCTGGCTGGTGGTCAGAGGACATTCTCAGGCTATTCCACACTGGGTTTTTATGCAGCTCAGCTTTAACTGCATAGTTTCCTTCCCTCCCTTGTAGATAGTATCGTTTTAGGTCCTTGTTCTAATAGTCCCGTCCCCCCCCCCTGATTTTTTTCTGGTGCGCCATTGCCCTGGAGGGCTGCCAGGAGCTAGGAGCAAAGGTCTTTTGAAGAAAAAAAAAACAGGAAAAGCTTGATGAAAACTCTGATAGCAACAAACCTCAACAGTACTGACTGTAAGGGAGGCGGGAACATGATTCAGTTAAGTGGCTGAGCTGCATCGAAAATCTGGCGTGGAAATGCCCCTTTTTTGCACAGTGCATTTCTGAGAATGCAAATAACACGACTTCATGAAGACACCTTGATCAATGCTTGCAACATGTCTCAGCGGTTATATATTTGCATCAAGGCTCGCTTTTCAGCACTGTGCATATGATGTAGGGTTGCCAGTTCTGGGTTGGGAATACTTGGAGATTTTGGGGGTGGAGCCTGAGGAAGGCGGGGTTTGGGGAAGGGGACATAAGAAGAGTCCTGCTGGATCAGACCGGTGGTCCCTCTGGTCCAGCATCCTGTCTCATGCAGTCTCATGCAGTGGCCAACCAGTTCCTCTGGACAGCCAACAACAGGCAGAGATGTTGCCTCCTGGCTCTGGGATTCAGACGTTTTGGTGCCTCTGAATGTGGAGGTTCCCCATAGTCACCATGGCTAGTAGCCATTGATAGTAACCATGCGTGCAGTGCGCCAACGGATTGAAAAGATGGCTT